CCGGAGTCCCCGGGGAGCGGAGGAGGGAGCCTGGGGAAGGGGTGTTCAGAGTGGGAAGGGGAGCTGGAGGGAGAGGTCACAACAGCCCTCAGTCCCCACAAAGGAGCCCGGCTCGCTGAGCACTGTCATACTGTGCAGCTCCAGTGGGGGCTCATTGCAGCCTCACCCCCTCAACACCCAGCGCGTCAGTTCAGTGCCCTGCACCCCACAGCGCCCCCAGCCAGCGCCCACTGCCCTGTGCCCCACAGCGCCCCCCCACCCCAGCCAGTACCCCCTACCCCATGCCCCAGAGCATCCACTGCCCCTGCCCCATGTCCCCTGCCCCACAGCGCCCCCAGCCAGTACCCCCTGCCCCATGCCCCCTCGCCTGAGCCCCCAGCCAGCGCCCACTGCCCTGTGCCCCACAGCGCCCCCCATCCCCAGCCAGTACCCCCCACCCCATGCCCCACAGCATCCACTGCCCCTGCCCCAAACCCCCTGGCCCCAGCCCACCTGCCCTGTGTCCCACAGCAACCCCCGCCCCCCAGCCAGTACCCCCTGCCCCGTGCCGCACAGCGCCCCCCGCCCACAGCCAGTACCCCCTACCCCATGCCCCACAGCATCCACTGCCCCTGCCCCATGCCCCTTGCCCTGTTCCCCACAGTGTCCCCTGCCCCCAGCCAGTACCCCCTACCCCACAGTGCCCCCTGCCCTGTGCCCCACAGCACCCCCTGCTGGCAGAGGCCAGGGCTGGCGGAGCTGGGCCGGGCTGGGCCCCTCCCACGCCGCTGAGTTGTTTGGGAGGAAACGCGGCCGGAGAAGCAGCTTTTCCTGCGCTGCCCCGAGGACAAACATTCCCTGACCTGGGGGGGGAGGGCAGGCGCGGGAAGGCTCCGCATTTCCGCTCCGCGAAAGGGGACCCCCGTGACCCCGAGCTCCAGCCCCAGGCCCCAGGGGAGCTGCCCCAACCGGGCCGCGCAGGGGGCAGGTATTTATAGCGCCCGCCACCCGCTCCTTCCGCCCGGGGCGTCCCACGGCTGATCGCCTCGCCGCCCGCCCGCCCCTTCGGACCGAGACGCCCAGCCCCTCCCCAGCCCTGGCCCTGCACAGCGGGGCAGCCTGTGCAGCGAGCCCAGGCACAATGCTTCATTGCAGGGGGACGGTCTGGCCCGGTGCAGGGGGGGGTTCTGGAGGGATGGTCTGGGCCATTGCGGGGGGGGGTGGGGTTCTGGAGGGACAGCCTCGCCCAGTGTGTGTGGGGGGTTTCTGAAGGGATGTTCGGGGGGGGGGGCTTCTGGAGGGACGGTCTGGCCCAGTGTGAGGGGGGGTTCTGATCCCACACAGGGAGGAGGGGTTCAGGGAGGCCTCTGGGGCTGGGGTGGACCCAGCACTGTGTGTGGGGGAGCCGGGGGGCCCAGCCGAGGTGCAGGTCACCAGCTACAGCCCCCTCTCCCTGGAACCCACGTCCGCCCCTGGGCTTGAAGGATGCTGGGGCAGCCTGGGCATCTGGGGCCAGGAAGGGTTGGGGGCTCAGTGATGTCTCCCTGCACCTTCCTGGGCTGGGGGGGCTCTGGGTCGGCCACTGCCAGCCCTGCCCACAAGTGATGGTTTGGGGACCCTCTCCAGATCATTTATTAGGTGTCAGAGTCAAATGGGGGAGATGAACCCCAGAGAACTGAACAGGCCAGCCACACCTGTGGATGGTCCCACCAGGAAAGGGGCGCCCCACGGCCCCATTAGCACCTCAGGCCCCACTCGCCACAGAATCTTCCAGCCAGGGGCTGCTTGGGCCATTCATTTCCCCCACCCCGCCCCGCCTGAGCCTCTGATCCTCCACCCCCACCCAGCCAGCCCTCCTGTGTCGCTGCCAGGCAGGTGCCGTCTCCTGCAAAGGTCCCCGCGCCGCAGGGGAGCTCCGACAGACCCAGCTCACCGGGCTGGTAGCTCTGGGCTCCCGGGCTGCGGGATTAGACTTGTGAGTCAGTGCGCTCAAGGCTCACAGCTGCACCCACGTTTCCGCCAGGAGATCCCAGAGTAGCCGCTGTGCCCATGGGAGGAGCAAAGCCTTCACAGCTTGCGCCCCACTCCCGTGAAGAGGAGGGGGCCGCTGGATTCCTCCCACCAGCGGAGGTTGCAACTCAAAGCAAAAGGGAGAAGGAGGAAAGTGCCTGAACAAGGAGGTGCCTGGCCTGGGCCAGCCCCAAAGGCCAGCCAGAGCTTGCTAGTTATAGCAGCATCTGCCTTTGCAGCCGTAGGGTGGGGCCGGTCCCTGCTTTAACCTGTCCCTCGCGCTCGGTTCCTTTCCCGAGTTAACACACGTCAGCTAGGCTGGGCCAGCGGGGGCTTTGGGGTGAGCGCTCAGGGGCCCGGGACTGGCCCTGTGGAACAGGGAGGCCCCTGATTGCCACTGCGATTCTCGGTGTACGGGGCCAGCCAAGGGGCCTGGCTCTGATGCTGTCCGTTGGCTGATATAGGGCCTGCCTGGGGAGTTCACACTTCATAAACCATTGGCGCGAACAAAGCATGGCGCTTACAGCCAGCGTGAGGCTAATGCCCAGCTGGCCTGAGGTTGGGACCTGTGCTTCTGAGCTGCTGCTGGCCAGCCTGATGCCGCGCAGCCCCCTGGGCACACCGCTGGGCACGTGTCGGGGCTCGGGCTCTGTGGGGCTCAGCCCCGGGCTAGGTTCTAGGAAATACAGTACAGGGTCAGGGCCCCCGACCTGCCACTGGCAGCTGGTGGGAGGGGACCTGGCCAGGAGGAGGTGGGGAAGGGGAACCTGGCTGGGAGCAGTGGGGGTGGGGGGGCGCTGGCCCGGAGCAGAGTGTGTGTGTGTGGGGGGGGGGAACCTGCCTGGGAGCAGGGGGACGGGGGGCGCTGGCCAGGAACAGTGTGGGTGTGCATTGGGGGACCTTGCCAGGAGCAGAGTGTGGGGGGGGGGGGAGGAACCTGGCCAGGATCAGTGTGTGTGTGGCGGGGAGACTTGGCCAGGAGCAGAGTGGGGGCGGGGGTGCTGGCCGGGAGCAGTGTGTGTGTGCATTGGGGGACCTGGCCGGGAGCAGAGTGTGTGTGTGGGGGAACAGGAACCTGGCTGGGAGCAGTGTATGTTGGTTGCGGGGATGACCTGGCCAGGAGCAGTGTGTGTGTGTGGGGGGGGGGGGGGGGGGGAAGAACAGGAACCTGGCTGGGAGCAGAGTGTTGGGGGGGGGGGGGGACCTGGCCAGGAGCAGAGTGTGGGGGGTGGGGGGAGGAACCTGGCCAGGAGCAATGTGTGTGTGGCGGGGGGGGGGGGACCTGGCCGGGAGCAGAGTGTGTGTGTGTGGCGGGGGGGAGGAACCTGGCCAGGAGCAGTGTGTGTGTGTGTTGGGGGACCTGGCCGGGAGCGGCCGGGGGGAGAGACCTGGCCAGGAGCAGTGTGTGTGTGTAGGTGGGGGGGGGAACCTGGCTTGCTCCCTTGCTATTCTTCTGCCATCAGCACAGTTTACATCTGGCAAGATAAATGGCCTCCTGCCCTCGCCCTGTTTCCATGGGGTTGGGGCGGCCAGGGGCTGGCGGCTGGGATGGATGTTTGTGTTTCTGGCTGGATCTCAGCAGCTGCATACGTCAGGCCAGCGCCGCCCCCATGGTGAACTGTTGCCAGGGCACAAGGGCAGAGGGCAGCCAGCGGCCTGGACAGGGACACACCTGGTTTGGGATTCCTGGGAGGCCAGGGGGCTGCCTTATGGGATTGAGGGGCACTGTGTGGGGGAGCCTAGGGCTGGACTAGCAGCAGACTGCAGGTCTGGAATAAGGGGCACCAGCAGAGCTGGGGGAGGGGAGGCTGGGAGCAGCGGGGGGCTGTGGGTCAGGATTGAGGGGCACCAGCAGAGCTGGGGGCGCTGGGGGAAGCAGGGGGCTGTGGGTCAGGATTGAGGGGCACCGGCAGAACTGGGGGGCTGGGAGCAGCAGGGCCTGGGGAGCTCAGAAAAGGCCACGGGGTTGGTCTGAGGTCCTGGCAGTGGGGCGATGGGAGGGACCTGGGGGGTGACTGAGAATAACAAGCCCTGGCCTGCCACCCCTCCCCCACACCTGGACCTCAGGGGCCCCCTCTCCTGGGTCCTGCCCCCTGCGGCCCCCACTCCTGCCTCGGGCTCCCCATGCCTGGGCCTGCCCTAGGGCCCCACTGCTGCCCCCTCCTACTGGGGCTCCCCAAGAGCCCTGCCCCCCTGGACACTGGCAAAGGCCAGGTGGTAAGAGTACTGTTGTCCCCTTCCCCACCTCCACCCCAGATTGGCCCCAGCCCCCCAGGTCCCGCCGCCGGCCCCCCCAGGCAGGGCTGGCAGCAGCGTCCTGATGACTTTCCCAGCTTCACTCCCCTCACACGCAGGAATTTCCTTCCTCCAAGCCCCCTGCCGGCTTCCCTGGAGTGAGCCAGGGGTGAGGGGTGGGGGGGCTGGGGCAGGGGGGCCCTGCAGGGTGGAGGAGGAGGAGGCGCCTTGGTGGGGGGGGGGGATCCATGTTGCCCCCGGGCAGTGGGAAGAGCCGAGCCCCTTTCCCTGCTGCCACGGTGTACATCGGTGTGGCCAGGGACGGGTTGTTCCTGGAAAACACAGCCAGCTTGGCCAGGATGCGCCGCATGGTGGAGGGGTTCCGGTGGGGCAGGGCTGGGACAAAGGGTCACACAGTGCGTGTGAGCCGGAGCTGGGCAGGGACAGTGGGGGGGAGACAAACCCATCGGTGCCAGGCGCTGCCCCAGGCACCGCCAGGAAACCCGCTGCCCTGGCACCAGCCCCGGCTCTGTGTCCCTCGGGGCCAACTTTTGTGCCTGTCTCTGGCCTGGAGAATGAGCTGCCTCGAAGCGACAACAGCCCGAGAGATGAGGCAAAGGGGTCAGTGCTTGGGAAGTGGGGAGGGAAAGAGCCCTCCCACCCCACTCAGCCCAGCCTTCCCCCCTGCAGCCCCTAGGGAGCCTGGCTGGGCAAGGCCCCAATCGGTGCAGATGGACCCACACACCTGAGAGCGGCCTTTAAATTAATGTTTATTCCTTATCATACAATTACAGACTGAACTCGAACCCCAGGCGAGCCAGACCGCATGACTGGGCAGCCCGGGGGGGGGGGGAGCTGTGTGGAGGGCCCCCCAGGTGAAATGAGCACCCTTCCTGCCTTGGGACTCTGCTGGGGGGCATAGGGGTGGGCACCACAACTGGCTCCAGCGCCCAGGGCTCTGGCATAGACCCAGTTGCAACTGCTGCCCAGCGCTCAGGGGGTCAGAGGTGGCTGGCTGGCTCCTTTGGGGGGATGGCAAGTCACAGCCAGGAGGAGCCTGGGGGGTATGGCGTTACCCTGCTGGTGGGCACTGGGAGGTAGGCAGCCGAAGGGGAGCAGGGCAGCTTGAGGGGCAGCGGGCTGCCAGCCCCAGGGGAAGGTGGCCAAGGGGCACAAAGGGTCAAACACCCCCCCAGCATGTCCCACCCACAGGTCTGGCCTTGCCCCACCAGCTGCAGCGCCATGCGCGGGGCCAGGGTGCATATCTGGGGAGGGCTGCCATAAATGAACATTCCAAACTCCTTGCTCAGGGCAGCGCTGGGCACCAAGCTGGGCACCAGGGTGAGTTCAGGACCGAAGCATTGGGGCCTGAGGGGGGCTCACAGGCAGCAGGGCTGGATGCCTGTGTCCTGGCCTCACCCACCAGGCTGCTGGGACTGAGGCCCGGTGTCTTTGGGTGCAGGCTGGGTGGCATGGCCTTGGGCCAGCAGGATGCAGGGACCTGCCCGCTGGCTCAAGGCACCTGGCCTGGTGCGGCTCGGGGGCTGGGTTCTGCTGGAGGGGCTCAGCTCACACCTAGGTCTCCGCCTTGTGCTCACTGGTCTGTGGCTGGCACGCGTCAGGCTCAGGGCCCAGGCACCCCCAGGGCAGCCGGCCCAGGCAGGGCAGGTGTGCGGGCGACAGGCGTGGCAGGGCCCTGGCGAAGCAGCGCACCTCACGGGTGGCAGGGATGTCCGAGAAGAAGGCCCGCTCCCGGCACAGCGGAGCCTCGCCCTCGCTCAGCTCCAGGTCCTTCACCACAGCCAAGATCTCCTGGCGCTGCGCCTGGCCCCGCAGGCCCCGCACGTCCAGCAGGGCTGCCACATGCTTCCTCCTGCAGAGACAAGGAGAGGGTGAGGGGTGCTGCTCAGAACAGCCCCCCATGGTACTGGGCACATGCCCACAGAGCAGAGCCATGCCATTGCTGGGGCCATTGCCATGCCCACCCATGCCACTGGGCACATGCCCACAGGGGCAAAGCTGTGCCCAGAGCCAGCAGCCAGGGCACCGCCCAGAGAGCCGGAGACGGGAGAGGCCAGGCCAGCTCCTTGCAGAAACCCAGGAACAAGCTCTTGACGCAGCCCAGAGAGGGGGCAACTCCTCAGACTGGCCTCGAGGGGGCGCGCAATCTCTCCCTAGCCCAGCCAAGGTCACGGGGAAGGACCCAATGTGAGTGGGGCTGGGGATGCAGCTGCCTCCTGCCATGGGGCAATGAAGGGAGCACCCCTCCCTTGGCAGCTGTGCCCCACCTGGGCAGAGGCACTTACTGAGGGGAGCCGCAGAGCAAGTGGGGGGGGGCATTCACCATAGATAAGTGGACTCACCCCCCTGGCAGTGTCAGCCTGTGCCCACTGGGAGCTGCCCCGTCAGCAGCCCCTGGCGATCAGCCTGGTGCCTAGCAGGACCCCCCCCTCAGCACACCCCAGCGGTGTCAGCCTAGTGCCCGCCGGGTCCCTTCCATCAGCACCCCCTGACGGTCAGCATGGTGCCTGGCAGGCCCTCGCCATCAACTCCCCCTAACAGTTCCAGCCCAGTGCCCGCCGGGACACACACACACGCTGTGTGAGGGCGGCTGGCTGCACTGCAGGGCAGGAGTTTATTTAAAGCTCCTGCCGGCACTTTCAGGATGTTGGCTAAGCGCCCATGTAATCAGCACAGCCCCGGCCCCCCTCCAGGCACACGCTGCTCCCGGGCAGCTCCTGCAGCGGAGAGGGAGGTGGGGGGCAGCCTGGTGCTTCTGCTGGTGTCCGACCCGGAGTTGGTTCTGGGGAACAGCACCGCTGGTGTCAGCTCTGGGCCCCACAACTGCTCCGGGGCCCTGCCGTGAGCTGGCAGCTGTCCCAGAGCACGGCCCAGCTCCAGGCGGGAAGATGCGCCCGGCACAATTGCAACACTTCCTTCCTTGGAGGCTCCTGCCACGGCGCTGAGCCTGGGGGCCGGGACCTGTGAATCCCACTGCCGGGAAAATGCAGCCAGCTGACGGGGGGCTGGCTTAGGGGGATCTTTCCAGAGGCAGGTGTCCCAGATCCATTCCCAGGGCAGCGCCAGGCCAGTCCCGACAGGGGCAGAGCAGTCCAGCCCCTGGCAATGCCAGGCCAGCAGGTGGGTGTGTTGTGTGGTGCTGGGAGGGGATGTGGTGGAGGGTGGCGGGGTTATATATGTCTGACACCCCGTCGCCCCCCACCGAAGGTCTCTTGCGGAGCAGCCTTCCACCCCTAGCCCCTTTTCCACAGGTCTCCACTTCCCTGGTGGCCACAACCACAAATTGCTCCATGGTGGCAGCCAGGGGAAGTCACTCCCGGGCCCCTTCCTGTCTGAGCCGCTTGTTTTTCTCCTCCAGCCCTGTCTTCAGCCACTCCTGCTGGCTGCCCCGCCCTGGCCGGCTGCAGGAAACAGCTCGCAGCCACACTTCACAGGCGATCCGTCGCCTCCCAGCCCTGAGCCCGGATGCCATCAGCGGAAGATGGAAAGAAGAGCCGCGCCAGGAGCGTGATAACCCCCCTTCACCCCAAGAGTGATGCAGGCGGCCGTGGCAAAGTCCAGCGCCAGGCAGAGCCACGGACGTGGGCATTTCTATCTCCCCCCATCCCCATCCTGGGAAGCGGGTTGTGACTCCGGGTTCAGGAAAGTGCTGCTGGGAGCATGGAGGAAGGGGAGGTGTCTTGTGACGTTATCAACATATGCTGGGACCGTATAGATCATTGTTGCAATCAAAGTCCTGTAGTGGCACCAAATCTTGTATAAAGGGGGTCAAATGAGGTGTCTAAGACGAGGTTATGGTTTGCTGATTATGATTATGCTGTCTATATGTGTGTATCATTTTTGTAGTTAAAGTTATGAATATTGGCTCTATACTGTCTGTATTTCAAACTTGTGCTATGCTTCTGGGGAGCACTCCAGACAAGCTGGTGTCAGCTCTGCCTAGCCTGCTTGATGGCCCATTAAGGACCATCAGCTACACAATCAATGATGGAGTGAGCTGTAGCTCACAAAAGCTTATGCTCAAATAAATTGGTTGGTCTCTAAGGTGCCACAAGTCCTCCTTTTCTTTTTGCGAATACAGACTAACACAGCTGTTACTCTGAAAACAATCAACCCATTGAGAGAAGGCAGACGCCTTAGGACTCAGCAAGGTGTGCAGGGACCTGCCTATGGACAGAACTCGGAGGTTTTTCCAGGCCACAGCTTGTCTTTGGGACAAAGAAAGAAAGACCACATGGCAAGAGAATATTAAAAGCTGCTGCAGCTCCTCCATCTGGTCTTCAGTCCTGCTTCATCCCCCTGGAGGGACTTTGCTACACTGAAGCTTTGAACCAAGGACTGAATGACCCATCCCAGCTGTGGATGTTCTCCAGAGACTTGATTTGAACCTGCAGTATATTCGATCGCTGCCGCAAGCCTGAACCAAGAACTTGGCCATGACTGTATGTCATTGATTCCATTTCACCAATTCTAGCTCTCATCTATAGCTTTTTCCTTTTATGAACAAACCTTTAGATTTTGGATTCTAAAGGATTGGCAACAGCATGATTTGTGGGTAAGATCTGATTTGCATATTGACCTGGGTCTGGGGCTTGGTGCTGTGGGATCAAGAGAACCTTTTTTCTTTTACTGGGGTCTTGGTTTTCATAACCATTTGTCCCCATAACAAGTGGCACTGGTGGTGATACCGGGAAACTGGAGTGTCTAAGGGAATTGCTTGTGTGACTTGTGGTGAGCCAGTGGGGTGAGACCAAAGTCCTCTCTGGCTGGCTGGTTTGGTTTGCCTCAGTGTGCATAGAAACCCCAGGCTGGGGCTGTAACTGCCCTGCTTGAAGCAATGTGTCCTGTATTGGCACTCTCCGTGGGGTCCTGCCAGAACCAGCATCATTACAGGGTCCCACACCCAATGGCCTGCTTAGCTCGATCAACCTTCTAATTCCGGCCGCAGTGCTGGGGGCCAAGCTGGGGGTGGGGGGGGCGTTCTGACCGCTGCTGGGATCAGCCTGTGAGCTGGCAAGGACGCGCTGCGGGTGCCGTTGCCCCGGATCAGGGCCTGGCTCCCGGCTGGCGAGCGCTCTGCGGCTGGGACTGTCCCTGGTTATGCACCCATGCGGCGCCTGTCAGGCTGGGGCCCGTGCAGGTCCATGCTGCCCCTATGTGCCAGACAGGGTCTCGCCCCCACCCCAGCAGAGCACACCAAGGCCAATTCACTGGTATCCTGCTCCTTGGCACCAGCGTGTGCCACGTGGGGGCAGCCCCTAGCCTTCCCTACGTGGTGGGAGCAACGACCGAGGGCAGCAGGCAGAGTCCCTGGAGCACGGCAGGGATGGGGAGGGGAAGCAGAGGGAGGCCAGCTGGGGCCCCTGGAAAGCACATTGCCAAAGGCCTGGCCTGCCTGCGCCTGGTGCCAGGGGGAGGGCTGGCTGAGCAGGGCATGGGCACGGGCACGTCAGCACCACCTGAACCCACTGGGCAGCCAGTGCGTGTCACTGGTGCCCCCTGCTGGAGAGGGCAGGTGTGTCAGGGTCAAATGCAACAGCCACCGCAGAATCGGGACTGGAATCCGACCCCTGTGGGGCCAAGCAGCTGGGGGATCCCTGCGGGGGGCTGCCAGCATTCAGCTCTGCTGGCGCACGGGAAGCAGCTGGGGGGTGTCGCCCCAGAGGGCATCTCCCGGGGCTGCATGTGGAGCATCCGCCCCTGTCCCAAGCAGTGGTGCTGGCAAAGCCATTTGCCCTTTTCCCACCTGGTCAGAGCAGCAAGTTCACGCTTGCGTCTGCCCTGGAGCCATCTGACCCTGGTCAATCTTCTGTCTCAGCCGGGGTGACCTGTGGTACTCTCTGCCACAGGAGGCGTGCGGGCACATGCTAGGCCCGGCCTTCCCAAGAGCTGGCTGATTTCAGGGCCAGGAGCCAACCCCCAGCGGGGGAGGGGGAAGGACTGTGGACCTGCATCGCACCCCTGGCCAGGTGCATTATGGGAGCTCACCGTCCCTAAGAGCACCATATACTGGACTCGCGCGCTGCTCGGAGCTTGCCGGCTGTCTGGCAGAGCATGGCCCAGCGCCCCCTACAGGAGAGACCCCAGTGCGGGGGGCTTGGGGTCTGTGCGGACCCAGGGGAGCTGGGAGCCACCCGTGCTGCCTCAGGGCAAAGTGCAGCCAAGTGATGGGTGGCCCCCCTTCAGTGGCAGCGCTCGTCTGGCTCCCCCGGGGCTTTGCCTGGGGCCACGCGGCGGCCACTGCTCAAGCCAGCCCGGGGCCCTCCCGTGACAAGCTCTGAGCACTGGGGTGTTTGTTCTTCTGTTATGGACCCAGACGGCAGCCACGGCCCTGTGCCACGGAGCTCAGGGCTCTGCCCGGCCCTCAGCCCGCCTGGCTCTGTGACGCTCAGCCGGGGCACAAGGAGCGAGAGGGGGAGCGGAGAGGGCAGCCCAGCTGCAACCCCAGAAGGGTCCCCCCAGCACTGCAGTGCAGCCAGGGCAGCTGTTTAACACGCCCCAGGGATAGGGCAGGACTGTGCGGGGGGAGGGGGGGGATTCATTAGCTGAGCTCCAGCTCAGCCGAGACCTTTAACAGCCTCAAAAGCACAGGGGGACGCAGATCTCCCATCCGACCACCCACCGCACCCCTGCTGACGTGGGGAGGCCAGACAGCAGCATGGCCCCCAATGCGCTGGCAGCAGGAGTCCAGGGGGGTGCCAAGGTGCTGGCCCCCTCACTGACGCTTCAAGGGATGGACCTGTTCCCCCCAGCAGCCCCCCGTGGGCCGAGGATGGAGCGACACTGGGGGATCCCCCAGAGGGAGGATTTGGGGGAACCTTGCTGGGGGAGGTGCAGGTTGGAGGCTGTGCACAGGTCCCATGGTGCCCCCTGCAGTGCCCCCCACTCACCGGACGTCAGGGAAGTCCCGCACCAGCACCCCCACCTCCATCTGGATAGAGGGCGTGTCCTCCAGCCTCAGGATCTCGGCCAGATGAGGCACCGCTGCATTCAGCCAAGATGAGGTCGACTTCTGTGGGGAGGGGCCAGTCAGGACAGGGCAGGGGCTAAGGAGATTCCCCCCCAGCCCCGCCCAGCCATGCCACCAGTGAGACTGAGGGGACAAACCAGCTGGAGCTCAGCTCCCCCCAGTCCTCCAGGAGAACCCCCAGCACCCAGGGCAGCACGGCCCGGCAGGCAGGGCTGGAGGCTGGTGCTAATCCTGGCTCCATTACCTCCCCGCTGGGGGAGGCTAGGCCCATCGCTGCCCTGCGCCGTGCCTCAGTTTCCTCTTCCACCCCTGCGTGAGCAGACGTGGGAACTCCAGTGGGCAGGGCTCCGTGTCCCGATCTCGGCACAACCCTGACACATGGCAACAGGACGTGCGGGGCACCCCCGCTCCACCTTCACTGTTTTACCCTAAGCCGGGCCCAGCTGGCTCTCCCAGGCTCTCCCCTCCACCAGGAGGGCTGCACCCGCCCTTTCCGCTGTGCCTGGCGCTGCCCAGGAACCCCCCTCTGGGCAGCCTGCAGCTCAGACGCCCTCCCCTCTCCCAATCCACCACCCCAGTTTAGCAATCTTGGAGATTCAGCCCCATGGGGGGGTCCTCACAGGGCAGCCCACCCTGCCCCACCGCGCAGCTACAGCGTGGCCCCCCACACCTCCCAGCCTCCTCCCGGCTCACCAGCTGGCCGAAGAGCTCCTGCAGCTGGCGGCCTTCGTCCTCCAGCCGGGCCGCCACCTTGCCTCTCATCTTGTTCGAGCTGCAGACGAGCCGGACCTGCAGTAGGGGCCGGACGTACTCGACCAGCACCCGCCGGTGCACCTCGTTCACCAGCGCCTGCGGGGCACACGACAGGCTCAGCCACGCAGCCTGTAGGGGAGGGGCAGACTCCCCCCAGCTAGCCCAGCGCGGTGGGGGGAGCCCCCAGGGATGCTGCCGCACACTGCACTGTGGCTATTCCCTGCCCCCCAGGGCCTTCAGATGCAGAATCTCAGGGAGAAACCTCCCCTGGAAGTTGTCCCACGGCGTCCAGCTCAGCAACTGGGAGGTCCCTGGGAAGAGACGCCAGCACCATGGCAGGGGGTCGGGGCTGGGTCCAGGGCCATGGCAGAGGGGCGTGGCCTGGAGAGGCACGAGGGCTGTGGTGGTGGTGGGGGGGGGGGGGCCGCTGGATAGAGGGGCAGAGCCTGATGAGAGGCAGCAGGGCCGTGGCGGGGCAGAAGGCAGTGGGGGCGTCCGGAAAGCAATAGCTGCTCTCCCTTCTGCCCAGGCCCTGTCCCATGTGGCTTCTCCCCACACCCTCAGCAGCACCCACCTTGTACGGCTCCGGCTGCATCGTCCGCAGCTTCTGGGCGTAGTCCGTGAGCAGCACGACGATGGCGTCGAAGCTCTCCGAGCTGGTCAGCCACTTCCTCTTCATCAGCTTGTGGAAGTAGGGCTGAAAGGAGAGGCCAGCCTCAGCGCCAGAGCAGAGACGGGCACCCCCAGGGGGCACATGGGGACCAGGCCAGGTCCCCTCCCGTCTGCTGCTGCAGGCAGGCCAGGAGTGGGCCAGATCTCAGCAGCGCCCCCTCTGACGGGCTGGGCAGTGCCTTGGCCAGGCTGCTGGCCTCACCCCGCTCACAGCTCCCCTCTGTTTGGATCCAGAGGGCTGGGCAGTGGGGGGCAAAGGAGGACAAGCCCCAGGTCTCCGTGCAGGAAAGGGGCAAGCTGCCATGACCCCCCGCAGCGCCCGGCCCTCTGCCCCTTTCCTATGCTGGCAGCACTGACATCTGCTGGGGTGAATGGGGGCCTCTGCCACCTCGCCCTGCCCCCGGCTCAGACAGGCCTACCTGTCCCACAGCTAGGAACATAAGAGCGGCCAGGCTGGGTCAGACCAATGGCCCCGCTAGCCCAGTATCCTGTCTCTGACCGTTGCTGGTGCCAGGTGCTTCAGAGGGAACGAACAGAGCAGGGCTATTATCGAGTGATCCACCCCCAGGCTGTCGTCCAGTCCCAGCTTCTGGCAAGCAGAGGCTAGGGACACCCAGAGCATGGGGCTGGGTCCCTGCCCTGTTGGCTAATAACCACTGATGGACCTGTCCTCCAGGAGCATTTTTAAACCCAGCTACAGTTTTGGCCTTCACAACATCCCCTGGCAGTGAGTTCCACAGGTTCACTCCGTTGTGCGAAGACTTCCTTCCTTCTGTTTGTTGCTACCTATTAATTTCCTGGTTCTTGTGTGATGTGAAGGGGTAAATAACACTTCCCTAGTCACTTTCTCTAGACCAGGCATGATTTTATAGACCTCCGTCATATCCCCCTTAGTCGTCTCTTTTCCAAACTGAGCAGTCCCCGTCTTTCTAATCTCTGCACTCGCTGAAGCTGTTCCACCCTCTTCTCTGCACCTTTCCCAATTCTAACCTCTCAGATTTGAGCTGGGGCGACCAGCCCCGTGCACAGTCTGCCAGGTGTGGGCGTACATGGACTGATAGAGGGGCAGTATATTGACTCTCTCATTATCTGACAGATCCACCTTACCCCCACAGACAGACCCAGGCCAGGTCCCGCGAGTGCCCCGGCCTGCCCCCCACATACCCGGAGCTCCTCGAAGAGCTGCTGGGCCAGGACACGGTTGCAGAGACGGGTCACTTTGTCCAGGGCGGCATTGGCCTGGCGCCGGGGGACATTGCTCTCCGGGTGGCCAAACTGCACCAGCTTCTCCACGTACTCCCTGGGGAAACGGTGCCTGTCAGCAAGCCGGCCCACAATGCACTGCAGCAACGCCCCCTCCAGGCATGGGCCCCAGGCCCCGAAATCCAACCCTGCCCCCGGCACCCTGGCAGGGGCCCAGGGGACAGATCTTGCCATGCTCTTCACCCAGGGGACCTTGGATATGGCTGAGGGGAAGAGGGGACCTCAGGGGAGTCCAGCTGGGTGGGAGTCCAGCAGGGGTCCTTGGTGGCCTGACTAGGGAGGGAGCCCAGTGGGGAGCCTGGGGAGGGCACAGCACAGCCATGGAGGGTAACCAGCAGGAGGTGCGGGGGGGGAAAGGGGGGGGTTGGCCACAAGGGACCTAATGGGGGGTTTGTAGGCAGGCACAGCCATATCAGGGGACGCAGGGTGCCTGCTACAGGCTCCGTAGGCCCCTGGACCTGGGTGGGGGGAATGGGCTGGCTCACCCCAGCCCTGGGCAGGCAAAAGGTATGGGGGCCCCTCACCTGAAGGGGGGGCAGCAGTTGACGAGTGTGATGGTCCTGCCCACATAGCTGTCGGCTGGGGGGCCGCTCTCGCCTAGCCTCTGGTGGAACTGCTCCACCTTGCTCTGAAAGCTGCAAAAGGGGAGAGATGGCCCATGCTGAAGGGGTGTCCTGAGGCTCCAGGGGGATCCCCACCCCCCCATACCAGGGACAGCCCCGGCAGGGGGGATCCCTGCCCCTCCCTGCCCAGGAAGGGCATCCTTGTACCACCAGGCACACGTCCCACAGTGATCCTCTCTGACAGACCCCAGGGGAGGGACCTGCACCCTCCACCCCGCTCAGCTGCTACCTTCCAGACCCCTTCCTCCCCCAGACCAAACCTCACCCAGCATGGGGAGGGGAGAGAAACCTGAGCCAAGGGCTGTAGCCCACAGGGCTGGCTTGGCCTTCCTTGTCTTCAGCCGTAAGGCAGGAAATCTGGAGGCCTGGGAGATGCTAGCCTAGGCAGGCAGCCTGAGCACAGCTCAGGCTAGGGGGGCTGGACAGACGGCCTGACGGCTGCCCCAAGGTTTGGGGAACGCGGCGGAGGAGCCTGCTCAGTGGGAGATGCCACCGCAGGGACAGGGGAGTAACGACTGTCCATCGGCCAAGCAAGACATGCCGGGGCTGAGCTGAACGGGCCTGGACAGGGATGAATCTGTTACCCTGCAGGAGAAGGGCACCTCCCTCCTACGCCGGGGAAACGGCTGGATTTGGGCACTAGCCTATCACTAACAGGGAAACCACCATGCGGAGCAGGGTCTTCAGTGATTAGCTGGGCGTCCCCCATCTGCCCTGCAACCCGCTGGGCCCATCAGAGCCATTGGCACGCCCAAGATGGGGCCGGCTGCTGCCTCTCACCGCCAGGCCGCCCAGGAAGCGCTTCGGCCCAGGGCAACACCCCAGCTGGTGCTGCGGGCTGGGACGGGGGCTCCGACCGGGTCACATGGCTTGGAGCCCTCCTGGCTTCTTCGCCAAGCCCAGTGAAAGTCCCCCAGGCTTTGCTGCGTGCTCAGCGTGAGCGCCCTCGTCCCGCACCCCAGGCTCTCGCCAAGAGACAGCTCCTGGGTTTGAGCCCGGCAGAGCCTGATGCTGGAGCCAGAGCCTAGGGACCCTCTGACCGACTGGCAAGTAACACAATATTATTAACAGGGCCGATCTCTCCACGCAGCCCATGGGTCTCCCAGCCCAGGGGGGCTGGCCGCGCTGGGTGGGGGTGTGTGGCTGGGAGCCCTCCGCGATTCCCGCACGGGGAAGCCCCCCCGCCCCCATCTGCTGTCCTCCCCATGAGTTCTGCACGGCCCCCCAAAGCAGGCCCCTGGTGTAGCCTCTCCCTCTCCCCTGTACCTCTGCAGGAACTCGGCCAGACCAGCCAGGCAGCAAAGTACTATCTGCTCCCCAAACTCCGGTGTGATCTGGGGGGCTCTGTCCACATGGGCCTTCAGTACCTGCAGGGAGAGGAGCAGGCCACTGAACTGCTGGGGGAGTGGGGAGCCTCCTCCCCCCCTGCCGCCGGACGCACGGACTGGCCCCAAACCTCCAGCGGGCACGACTGACTCACCCCAACCGCAACAAAGGGGAGACCCCAGCAGGCCCTGGCCGAGCCCCAGGCACCATCAGCTGCACCCAGCACCGCCTGGGGAGGGGCTGCGAGCTGCCAGCCCAAGGCAGGTCCAGCCAGGCCCCAGGCACCCAGCACAGCCCAGGCCTGGCTCAGCAGCTGTCTGCTCCCATGGGGCACGGCGCTCAGGGGGCTGGCCAGTGGGCAGCCTGGGGGGTGGCGCTGGCTGCCTGGCAGAGGGGAGCCCCGCACGGGGCCCATTGCAGAGCTCACGGGGGGCAGAGGACTAACTCTCTGGCCCAGGGGACCTGCCCCGGGGGTACTGGGGTCGGAGCTGCCATCTGCTGTTGGCAGCTTTCCCCTGTGGCCCCCGCAGCCTGGGGGAGGGGGCGGGGGGGAGGCAAGACTGGTAGAGCCCACCTGCGCCCTCTGCCAGGTGGGAGCTGGAGCCGGAGCTGATCAGCACGAGCCCCAGACAGCACCCCCAGGGCCGGGCGCCCGCACAGGGGCCAGCAAGTCAAAAGCTCTGGGGGCAGCCAGTGGGGGGCCGGCGTCCCCCCGGGACAGCCGTGTCTTGACAGGGATTGGGGTCCAGGATGGGTGAGCCCGGGGGTAAGCCTTGCCCTGGCTCTAGGGGGATGGGCACATGGGCCCACTCCACACCCAGGGTCCAAAGGGAGCTGGGGGAGCCAGGCTGTGGCTCCGGAGGAGGGGAAGGCTGGACCTGGCCACCTGGGGGAGGGTGGGGGAGCCCGGATCAGGCCCCAGACCAGCTCAGAGGCTCCCACGGACTCCCTCCTTCGGCTGGGCCATGGGCTGCCCTGGTCATACCAGACACCCCTGGGCCCAATGGGGCGACTTCTGGCCCCACTCAGCCAGCATGACAGGCCTGAGACCACCAGCACCCGGAGGGTGAACAGCTGATTGCATGGGCGGTGGGGAGGGTATGTGTGTGGCAGGGAAGGCCGGGGAGAAGGGAGCCAGGGAGGCCCAGAGGCCAGGCACAAGCGGTTCCAGGTTCGATGGGGAATGACCATGGGAGGCTCCGGGGGCCAGGCACAGTGGGGAAGGGGTGTGGGGGGCTAGAGGGCCAGACACGTCATGGGGTGGGGGTCCAGGCACGGTGGGAAAGGGGCATGGAGGTACCGAGGGCCAGGCACGGCGGGGGCAGGGCTCGAGGGCAGGGCTTGGGGGCCAGGCATGGCGGGAGGGGGATTGGGAGGCCCAGGGGGGCCAGGCACGGCGGGGAAGGGGCCTGGGGGGCCAAGGCACAGCAGGAGGGGGTGTAGGGGGCCAGGCACAGCAGGAGGGTTGTGAGTGGTCCAGGGGCCAGGCACGGCGGGGAAGGAGCGTGCCCAGGTGGAGCCAGGTAGCGGCAAACGGCCCTGCCCTGGACGCACCGAGATCACCCGGCTGGACAGCTCCAGGTGGCCGTGGTCCCGTCCAGGCTCCTGTGCCCAGCGCTGCTCCTCCTCCCGCAGCTCCCGGCTCATGTCCGCTGCAATCTTGGTCTAGGTGGGAATAGAAGCTGTCACAGGTGGGAGGGAGCTCCGTGGGGGGGGGGGTGCATGGGCTGCCCCAGCACCACCTGCCCTATGGCCTGGCATCCAGCCAGCCGGCTCCCAGACAGGCCCTGCAGCTCGGCAGGAATGTAAACTCCTCCCCCCACGACCGGCTCATTAAAGGACTGACACCCCCAACCCCCTGGACTATTTGGGGGGGAGGAAATCACCCACTCCCAGCTCAAAGGCACCACGGGAAGGGGAAGGGGGTGGGTAGGTGCCATGGGGAGAGGGTGGGGCAGATGCGGGGAGGCGCCAGAGGGGAGGGGAAGGCCCTGGGGCTGCTGCGGGGAGGCAGGGCGGGGGGGAGGTGTGCCTTGGGGGGTGGGCACCAGGCCCCACCGTTACCTTCACTGCTGTGGCGCAGGCCTCCTCCAAGCGGCGCTGGGTCTCGGGGGGCAGCAAGGGCTCTTGCTCGTGGGCGCTGAGCAGCGGGGCAATGTCCAGCCGCCCCAGCACCGCCCTGGGGGCAGAGACAGCCATGAGGGCAGGGCCCCCCCGCAGCCTCCCTGCGTGGCCCCCTTCCCAGTGACAGCTCACAGGGCGCCAGGGCCAGGTACCGGCCCCTCTCCTCCCCCCACCCCCCTGTGCCAGGTACAGCCCCCCCCCCAGTGCCAGGTACCAGCCCCGCCCCTACCCCCCACCCCCCAGTGCCAGGTACAGCCCCCCCCCCAGTGCCAGGTACCGGCCCACCCCAGGCCAGGTACTGACCCCAGAGCCGTCCCGTCCCCCCGCCCCGCCCCGGGAGCCAGCCCCGCCCCCCTCACCTGGGGTAGGTGTTGCTGTGCCAGTCCAAGAGGAAGTAGAGCTCGGCGATGGACAGGCTCCTCTGGGCGATGCTGCCCAGCAGCTGGGCCAGCCCCTCATGGTAGCTGCGGGCGTAGACGCCCAGGGCCTGGTACTCGGGGGGATACGCCGGCAGCAGGTGGCTCCTGAAGGCGCTCAGGTCCTCCACCAGGCAGCGGGTCAGGCGCTCCACGTGCCCCGCCAGGGGGCCGCCACTGTCCTCGGCGCACTGGCCCAGCCGCTCGCCCACCGCCCGCTTCACCGCCTCGGCCCACCTGCGGCGCATGGCCCGGGGCCGGGGCCCGGGGCCGCCCCCCCTGCGCCTCCGGACACCGCCGGTCCGCAGCCTCCTCCTGCTCGATCACCCGCACCACCAGCTCCAGGGACGGGTAGGTGCCCCGGGCCGCCAGGGCCTCGGCCAGCATGGCCCACAGCTGCTGCAGCAGGGCCTCGTAGAGCAGCGCCACGTCCTTGGCCTTGCGGCTGCCGGCCTTGGCCCCCTCCCCGGCCTCGCCGCTCGGGGGGCCCTCCCGCCCGCACTCCGCCTCCAGCTCGATGATGTGCTTGTCTGCTGCCAGCAGGTCCCGCTGCTGGATCAGGTTCAGGATCTCCAGCACTGCGGGCAGCGGAGCAGAGAGGTCAGCCCGGACCCTGGGGGAAGGGGAGCCCCGGGCGGGCACAGCCGGGGACTGCGGGTCAGGAGAGAGGGGCACCGGCAGAAAGCCCAGGGCTGGGGCAGGCGGGGTTGGGAGTGAGGGGCGTCGGCCCCGGGCTGGCACAGCAGGGAGCTGTGGGTCAGGAGTGAGGGGCACTGGCAGAGCTGTGGTAGGGGGGACACAGAAGAGGTGTGGCTCAGGACCGCTAACCCCACACACACTCCAGCTCTGGCCATCTGCCCAGAGCAAACTCCGCCCGGCGGGGGAAGCGGAGCCGGGAGGCAGAACCCCAGCTTGGCTCTACGTTGGCCCCAGCCCTTCTGGAGAACCTGGACTCCGGGTAGGAGCCAGACGTGCCCCTTGCTGTCCCCCTCCCCCTGCTAGGGCTGCCCCTCTGCCCTCGAGGTCAGCTGAAGAGCCAGCAGCCAGCAACCCCAGCCCAGTGGGGCAGGTAGAACAGGCAGGAGAGGCAGGCCCTGTGCCCAGCTGGCAGGGACACTCCGTCCCCCATATGGGTCCCTGCCCCACACGCTGGCTGGGAACTGCCCACCTCTGTGTCCCATGGGCCCAGTGGGGCAGGACACTCCATCTGCCGGGGCCCACTGGCTGCTGGATCCGTGCCCGGGAAGGCCAGGAGCAGAAACAATAAGTCAAACAACAGCTTGGCTGGGCTGGGCTGGACAGGGGACGACCACAAACGTGGCCATGAGCTGCCCCACGCCGAGCCCCAACCCAGCCAGGGGCTGGCCACTGTGCCCTCATGGTGTCCAGCCACCTGGCTCTGGGGCAGAGCACCCACACAGTGTTGGGGGCAGGCAAGGCCCCTGGCTGGGGTGAGGGACACAGCACATGGCCCAACACCTGGGGGGCACAGCTCTGCCCAGCCCTTGGGACCCACAGCCAGCCCAGGTGGGCTGGTGACATGGGGTGCTGGGCCTGCCGGGGGAGCAGACAGCACCCTCCCTTCTCCTCCCCTGCCAGGAAGGGGCGCTCGGCCAGCAGCAGAGAACAGGGATGGGAGAGTCATGGGGGGGAGGGGGGGGAAGGGGGTGCTCTCGGGTGACCTCTGACCCCCTTCTGTGACCTGTAAGTGACCCCCCCACCTGCCCTTGCCCTGCAGCAGGGAAAGGGACACCGAGCTCCATGCGGCCCTGGCAAAGCAGAACACCAGGGTCATCTCCTGCTTCCCCCCCCAGCCTGCCTGCTCCGAGAACACGTCCGATTCACTGGCTCCCCACCGGTCTAGCTCCTGCGCCCACCAAACCTCGCCCCCAGCGGGACAGATCCTCCCATGGGGCGGCACACGCTGAGCTCTGTGGGATGCCCGCCCTGGGGGCACAGCAGGACTTCATTCCACACCCCTCCCGGCACCGTGCCAGGGGAAGCTCCACTGGCATTCGGACAGAAACATCCCACGCCCAGCCCTGCAGAGGGCAGCTGGGAATGTGGCCCAGGGAGACCGAGAGATGCAGACGCCAGGGGGCAAAGCGGCCCTCGGCATGGCCACCAAGGGCAGGGTTCCTCGGCCCATCTCAGATTATCCATAGCACCTGACTCTGAATTTTCCAAGGGTTTTTGGAGGGGGAGCCTCAGAATTGTTCCTGCAGCCCCCCACCCACGGGTAGAGATCTAACCCCCTGCATCTGTATCGGTCCCTACCCCCCCCTCCTCAGACCAGCGTCCCAGCACCTCCACCCCGGGTGCGACCTCCCAGCACCGGGGTCTCATGGCCAAAGGATCCCCCCAGGGACCGCAACCAGGAACCGGCTGGCTTTAAAGCAGAGACATGCAAGGGGGCGGGGGGTTGGAGGAGGGGGGGATTTGCACCTCAAAGGATCCCTAATTGGTAGGTGTTTGCTCTCTATCCACTGGGTTTGGTGCCCTAGGGTGGGACAATGGGGCCTCTCTGGAGCCGGGGGCAGACAGGGTGGCTCCATGGGGTGATAAGGGATCTGCTCAGAACTGGCTGTTCCAGGCCCTGGTGCCGTGTTATCTTCCAGTTCCCCACTGGGCCTCATTCCCCACAACTCTGGGAGTGGGGCTGGGCTCCCCCCGGGCAGAGCCCCAGGTCAGGCAGCAGCCAGGGCATTGCCGGGCCCATCCCATGCAGCTGTGTCCTGTGTCACTCACAGCACCTCTGTGGTTTTAGAGGCTTTGCCAAGGACCATTAGCCACAGCATGGCTGCCCCGTCTGGGAACCCCACTCCCAGGGACGAGACTTACCCCATGCAGAGCGATGCCCTACAGCGAGCCGGGCCCTGGGAAGAGCCCACTGTGCAGATAGGGAAACCGAGGCAGAGAGGCAAATGGACATACACAAGGCCACAAGAGCCAGGGACAGAACCCAGGGTCCTGGCTCCTAGCCCCCTGCTCTAACCACTAGACTCCCTCCCAGAGCCAGGACTAGAACCCACACACATCTCAGCTGGGAGCATGTCACGGCCGGCACCAGGGTCCCACTCTGCGCACAGGATGCCCTGCGACGGGCCCTCACCACGGCAGCTCCTCTCAGCACCGGGGCCAGCCGGGAAGTGGGACCGACCTGTCACCCACGGGCAGGGCGCATTGGGGTGGGGGGGGACGATGACGACAGAAAGAAGCAAGGCTCGGGGGGGGGGAGCTCCGGAGGGAGCTCCCCCATGGGCTGAGGCTCTTGGGAGGGGGTAGCTGCAGGGGCTCATGGGCTGGGGGCTCAGGGGAGTGCCTGCGAGAAGTAGGGGGGCAGACAGGGGGCAGATCTATGGCTCCCCCCCCAGCTCCTCACAGTCCAGGGGAGGGGGTGCCCCGGGGACATGACTCGGCCCTTCAGCAGCTCCGTCGGGCAGGCTGCCTCCCCGGGACGTACGTGGGCACACGCTTCCCCACATCCCCCCTCGTGGCAGGGCCCCCCAGCTGCAGCTCCCCACCCGGCACGGAGGGCCCGGTTCCCACGGCCGCGCGCCGGCTCACCTGACAGAGGCTCCTGGGCCTTGGCGGCGGTCTCCACCTCCTGGGCGGCGCGCGCCGGCTCCGGGGCCTCGGGGGGGCTGGTCTTGTCCACCAGCGAGGCCCGGTGCGCCCGGCCCCCCAGGCCCAGCTTGAGGAAGGTCATGCGCTTCCCGGCATCAGGGGCGCCCTCGCGCTCGGCCGGGCAGCTCTCCGGCCCGCCCGGGCTGTCCTTGCGCCGTCCGTTCAAGCGCTGCAGGAGGCTGAAGTCCTCGGAGCTGCGCCGCGCCTTCCGCTTCTCCGGGGCCCCGGGGCCCAGCTCCCCCTCCAGCAGGCGGCCCAGGAAGGAGCGCCGGTCAGGCCCCTTGTCCCCGGCGGGAGCCTTCTCCTTGCCCGCCCCTTTCTTGCCTTTGCCCAGCCGGAAGGGGGAAAGGCCCACCAGCCTCTCTAGTGTTGCCCGGCGCCGGTCCAGGCTGCCATTGAAGAGGTTGCGTTCAAAGCCACCGCCCTGCTCCTCTGCCTCCTCCAGGAAGGGGTTCTGGTCCCCCAGGATGGAGTCCCCCGAGTTCTCCTCCAAGTCCTCCTCGAAGGGGTTGGTGCTGCTCTCCTGGGCCAGGATCAGCTCCCCAGTGCCGCCTGGCGCCCTGTTGGTCTTGGCCATCTTCAATTTGTAGGGGTTCTTAAGGACCGGCATGGCCGCCACTGCCTGGGACCTGGCAACACAGGAGACAGGGTCAGGCCCCGAGTGTGGGACGCGGGGATCCCAGTGCCATGGGAGGAGAAGCAGCTGGGGACACGGAACACCCAACCGCTGCCTAGCGACATATACCGCCATGGCATGCTCTGTCCCCTGTATCGCACATAACCTGTACCCCATTCCCTGTACTCCATTGCACACCCTGTATCCCATATCATAGAATCAGAGAAGATAAGGTTGGAAGGGACCTCAGGAGGTCATCTAGTCCAACCCTCTGCTCGAAGCAGGACCAACTCCAACTAAATCATCCCAGCCAGGGCTTTGTCAAGTCTGACCTTAAAAACCTCGAAGGATGGAGATTCCACCACCTCCTGAGGTAACCCATTCCAGTGCTTCACCACCCTCCTAGTGAAATAGTATTTCCTCATATCCAACCTACATCTCCCTCACTGCAACTTGAGACCATTGCTCCTTGTTCTGTCACCTGCCACCACTGAGAACAGCCAAGCTCCATCCTCTTTGGAACCCACCTTCAGGTAGTTGAAGGCTGCTATCAAATCCCCCCTCACTCTTCTCTTCTGCAGACTAAACAAGCCCAGTTCCCTCAGCCTCTCCTCGTAAGTCATGTGCTCCAGCCCCCTGATCATTTTTGTTGCCCTCCACTTGACTCTCTCCAATTTGTCCACATCTTTTCTGTAGTGGGGGGCCCAAAACTGGACACAGTACTCCAGATGAGGCCTCACCAGTGCCAAATAGAGGGGAATAATCACTTCCCTCGATCTGCTGGCAATGCTCCTACTAATGCAGCCCAATATGCCGTTAGCCTTCTTGGCAACAAGGGCACACTGTTGACTCATATCCAGCTTCTCGTCCACTGTAATCCCCAGGTCCTTTTCTGCAGAACTGCCGCTTAGCCAATCGGTCCCCAGCCTGTAGCAGTGCCTGGGATTCTTCCATCCTAAGTGCAGGACTCTGCACTTGTCCTTGTTGAACCTCAGCAGAGTTCTTTTGCACCAATCCTCCAATTTGTCTAGGTCACTCTGGACCTTATCCCTACCCTCCAGCATATCCACCTCTCCCCCCAGCTTAGTGTCATCTGCGAACTTGCTGAGGAAGCAATCCATCCCATCATCCATATAATTAATGAAGATGTTGAACAAAACCGGCCCCAGGACCGATCCCTGGGGCACTCCGCTTGATACCGGCTGCCAACTAGACATGGAGCCATTCATCACTACCTGTTGAGCCTGACGATCTAGCCAGCTTTCTAGCCACCTTTAGTCCATTCATCCAGCCCATACTTCTTTAACTTGCTGGCAAGAATACTCTGGGAGACCGTATCAAAAGCTTTGCCAAAGTCAAGATATATCACGACCACCACTTTTCCCATATCCAGAGCCAGTTATCTCATCATAGAAGGCAATCAGGTTGGTCAGGCATGACTTGCCCTTAGTGAATCCACGATCAGGAACAGTCAACACCTTCCTCTCCTCCAAGTGGTTCAAAATGGATTCCTTGAGAACCTGCTCCATGATTTTTCCAGTGACTGATTCTCCTTCTTCCCTTTTTTAAAGATGGGCACTATATTTGCCTTTTTCCAATCGTCCAGGACCTCCCCCGATCGCCAGGTGTTTCTCTGCAATCACATCAGCCAACTCCCTCAGTACCCTCAGATGCATTGCGTCCGGCCCCATGGACTTGTGCATATCCAGCTTTTCTAAATAGTCCTTAACCTGTTCTTTCACCACTGAGGGCTCCTCACCTCCTCCCCATACTGTGCTGCCCTGTCTGGGAGCTGACCTTGTCTGTAAAGATGGAGGCAAAAAAAGCATTGAGTAAGAACATAAGAATGGCCACACTGGGTCAGACCAAAGGTCCATCTAGCCCAGCATCCTGTCTTCCGACAATGGTCAATGCCACGTGCCCCTGAGGGAATGAACAGGACAGGTAATAATCAAGTGATACATCCCATCACCCATTCCCAGCTTCTGGCAAACAGAGGCTAGGGACACCATCCCTGCCCATCCTGGCTAATAGCCATTGATGGACCTATCCTCCATGAATTTATCTAGATCTTTTTTTAACCCTATTATAGTCTTGGCCTTCACAACATCCTTTGGCAAGGAGTTCCACAAGTTGACTGTGCGTTATGTGAAAAAATATTTCCTTTTGTTTGTTTTAAAACCTGCTGCCTATTAATTTCGTTTGGTGGCCCCTAGCTTTTGTGTTATGAGACAGAGTAAACAATACTTCCTTATTTACTTTCTCTACACCAGTCATGATTTTATAGACCTCTATCATATCCCGCCTTAGTTGTCTGTTTTCCAAACTGAAAAGTCCCAGTCTTATTAATCTCTCCTTATACAGCAGCTGTTCCATACCCCTAATCATTTTTGTTGCCCTTTTCTGAACCTTTTCCAATTCTAATATATCTTTTGTGAGATGGGGCAACCACATCTGTATGCAGTATTCAAGATGTGGGCGTACCATGGATTTATATAGAGGCAATATGATATTTTCTGTCTTATTATCTATCCCTTTCTTAATGATTCCCAACATTCTGTTGGCTTTTTTGACTGCCGCTGCAGTGGATGTTTTCAGAGAACATCTAAATCCACTATATCCACTGTATCCCCCTTGTCCACATGGTTGTTGACCAAAGAATTCTAGGAGATTGGTGAGGCATGATTTACTTTTATAAAAACCATGCTGACTCTTCCCCAACAAATTATGTTCATCTATATGTCTGACAATTTTGTTCTTTACTATAGTTTCAACCAGTTTGCCCAATACTGAAATGAGGCTTACTGGCCTGTAATTGCTGGGGTTACCTCTGGAGCCCTTTTTAAAAATTGGTGTCACATTAACTATCCTCCAGTCATTAGGTACAGAAGCTGATTTAAATGATAGGTTACAGATGACAGTTAGTAGTCCTGCAATTTCACATTTGAGTTCCATCAGAACTCTTGGGTGATACCATCTGGCCCTGGTGACTTATTATTGTTTAGTTTATCAATTTGTTCCAAAACCTCCTCTAGTGACACCTCAATCTGGGACAGTTCCTCAGATTTGTCACCTAAAAAGAATGGCTCAGGTTTGGGAATCTCCCTCACATCCTCAGCCATAAAGACGAATGCAAAGAATTCATTTAGTTTCTCTGCAATGGCTTTATCATCCTTGAGTGCTCCTTTAGCATCTCGATCATCCAGTGGCCTCACTGGTTGTTTAGCAGACTTCCTGCTTCTGATGTAGTTTCAAAAAGTAATAGCAAAATTTTTTTTGTCTTTGGCTAGCTGTTCTTCCAATTCTTTTTTGGCATTCCAAATTACATATATATATTTTTAAGTACTTCAGCTTTTTCCACATCATATGTCACTAGGTTGCCTCCCCCATTCAGTAAGGGTCCCACACTTTCCCTGACCACCTTCTTGTTGCTAACATACCTGTAGAAACCCTTCTTGTTACCCTTCACATCCCTTGCTAGCTGCAGCTCCAATTGTACTTTGGCCTTCCTGATTTCACTCCTGCACACTCGAGCAATATTTTTATACTCCTCCCTCGTCATCTGTCCAAGTTTCCACTTCTTGTAAGCTTCCTTTTTGTGTTTAAGCTCACCGAAGATTTCTCTGTTAAGCCAAGCTGGTCGCCTGCCATATTCGCTATTCTTTCTGCACTTCAGAATGGTTTGTTCCTGTGCCATCAATCAGGCTTCTTTAAAATACAGCCAGCTCCCCTGGACTCCTTTCCCCCTCGCATTAGCCTGTACGTACCCTGTACCCCATTGCACGCTCTGTACCCGGTATCGCACATGCCTTGTACCCTGTACTCCATCGCACGTCCTGTACCCTGTATCTCACATACCCTGTACCGTCACACGTCCTGTACCCCACAAACGCTATACCCCATCGCACACCTTGTACCCTGTATCACACATGCCTTGTACCCCATTGCACACCTTGTACCCTGTATCACACATGCCTTGTACCCCATTGCACACCCTATACCACACATGCCCTGTACCCCATTGCACATGCCCTGTACCCCCAATCACCCAGCATACCCTCAACCCACACGATATGCCGCATCACACACCATGTACGCCCATCCCACGCCCGCCATACCAATCACACTGTGTACCCCATATGATCCTCCATGCACACCCATCCCATGTGCCCCCACTCCATGCCATGCCACACTCCTGTCCCACTCTAGGCAGCCCCCTAACCAATACACCCTGCTGTGCACAGTACCTACACAAATTCAGGACCACTTCCTTCCTGGGCTTCAGTTGTATCCAGAATCAACTCTGGGTCAACGGATACATTTTCAACCATCATAGGCTGACAGGCTTTTTCTGTCTGCTCTACAAACAGAAAAGAGCTGGAGAAACATTCCCCTTTAACAGCCAAACAGCTTGGGATCTCATTTCAGGCTTGACAAAGCCCTGGCTGGGATGATTTAATTGGGGATCGGTCCTGCTTTGAGCAGGGGGTTGGACTAGATGACCTCCTGAAGTCCCTTCCAACCCTGATATTCTACGATTCCCTTGTCCCAGCACACAGGGCTGTTCACAGACAACTGCTTGGAGACCAGGGTAGCTCCCTCCATAGGCAAGTCAATACCCCTGACAGACACAGGAACGTTTCCTTCACTGTCCCAATTCTCCACCCAGGTAACAGGTAAGGTGTAGGGATGCTCATATTCCACTAACCTCACCTTCCCAAACTGCTGACTAGCTAGACAAAGCCACCAGCTCAGAAGGCTGCCTAGGCTCATCTAAACTCTCTTTGCCGTCCCCTCCTTTAACAGATGAGCTGCTGTTTTCACAACTACTGTCTTACTACACGGAGCTACTTTAAAGCACATCACTTTTACCTGGGCCAGGCTTACTTTCCCAAGCTTTGCTAGCCAACAGTGTATCACTCACCAAGACTGTCCCCCTTCCTTCCTCAGTTTGGGCTTTAACCTGATCACCAGCTTTAATTTGCTCTAGAGAAACATTTCCCTGAGCCTTAT